AAACACTGGAACAGGTTGCCCAGAGAGGTAGTGGAGGCCCCATCCCTGGAAACATTCAAGGCCAGGTTGGATGGGGCTCTGAGCAATCTGATCTAGTTAGCAGTGTCCCTGCTCACTGCAGGGGGGTTGGACTAGATGACCACTAGTGGTCCCTTCCAGCCCTAAACGTTCTATGATTCTATGACAGGAGGAATCCCACCTCTTCCAGAAATTTTCACATAGTTCCTTTACTCACAGAAAACGCCAATAAAAGGCACACAACAGGGTCCCATAGATGTCTTTAAACCCTAGCTGTTGTTCAGACAGTATTTCACAGCTCCTCTTGTAATCGTCCCAGGCTGCCAAGGGAGTGGAACCAGTGAGAGCAACTCTCTAGTGTGTCCAAGCACAGGGGCACAGCCCTTGGTTTGCCATCTGCCCACAGCTTCCAGCGTGGACACAGGACAGCTGACCCCAGAAGGACCCTAATTTTTTAAATTTGAAATATTTTTTTTTGATTTTCATTTGTTAAAGGACCCTAATTTCTTAGTGCAATGGCAAATGTATACACTAAAACCAACATTAAAAAAAAAAAAGAAAATCATTCAAGAGACGGAAAGTATAGAATATGCTTTCTAGAGAACCAACTGTTAGGGCCTCTGGAGGTCTCCAGCTTTTCCTCCCTCAAAGCAGGACTAGCTCAGGTCAGCTGGGGATTTCTGAGTCTGAGTGCTCTCTCATAAAGGAAGTGGATGAATAAACTCCCCAGAAGAGAAAGAGAAATAACCCCTTTGATAACAACAGACTCCTCTACTCAGCTGGAAGTGGGGGGTAAGGGGGGAAGCAGTGAAATGCCTAGCCCGTAGTATTTCCTAATTCAGTGTTGGAGGGGTTTTTGCAGAACAGATCAACTGAAATCAAAACAAAGCAAGGCTAACGGAATAGGATGTTCTGATGAAATATGTCAGCCCAGAGATATGCTCGCTTGCTGCTTCATCAATTGCAATAATCCCACTGCTCCAGAGTCCATCAATTACGGTATAACTGAAATATCCTAGCCGTACATAAGCTTTGCTTAACACTGGTTTTAGAGCCAACAGGAACTTGCCTGAAACAAACCCAGTACAACCCCTGAGACCCAGCAAATTTGTCTAAGGGGAAATGCTGTTCAGATGTACTTGTATCACTATCAATAATGGAGAGAACCAAAACTTCCAGGCAGCACTGCAAGGGCATTTTAAAGAAAATTAAAATCATGAGTCACTGTAGCACTTTTTTCTTTTAATATGATATGATAAAAAGTTTTAGAAAGTCTCATCATATGGAGAGGGCATAAACCCCAAAATAACACCATTTATGGGGAGATGCCATGATTTTTCTTTAGTATAATGCTGCAGCTTCCCTTTTTCTGGTTCACAAAGTAAATAACACCATCTGAATTTCCCTCTTTCATTTGACTATGCAACTGATAACTTCTTGATTGCGGCAATGCAAATGCTGGGTAGCTGAACCGCAGTCTGTGGTTGATGTTTAAGGCTAGCATCCTGGCAGATCTCAGAACAGCAGCAGGTCTCTGACACAAGAGAAGCAGGGCGACATCCATAGCGACACATCCGGTGTCTAATGTGCAGTTAGGCACACCTGAGCCGCTGGTTGGCTTTTTGGCTGGCTTTTTTTAGGGACGCACCCTTACAGCTGGGGTTCATCTCCTCCTAAAGCAGGTGCCCCTAGTGGGCTGTTCCCTAAATGCCACCGATTGCATTGCCTCGCTCCCCTTTCACAGCCGCGTAGGTCAGGTAGGCTTGACCTAGGCTTCCCGGCGCGACAGAGTGCAGACGGTGACGAGTTTGTGCAGGCAGGGGGAATGACCCCGGGCC